ATCATTTTCCCTTGCTAACATCACTAAAAATTTTCGACGAATGAAATTTGGGGAAGTAATTACACTTCGCATAGACGATGGTGTGTACACATTTCGGACATGTTTCTCTAATTCGTTTAGCAACTCGAGAATATTTGATCAATCATTCACACACCATGATCAAGCTCAGTTTTGCATAACTTATCTCGTGTTTCTTTAAATTTGTCTCCCGCTGTTCAAAGCGCATTTCAAGTCAGGACGCCCCCTATTGGGTTTGTAAAAAACCTTCTGAAACCCTGAACAATGCTATTTAGTTATCTGTTCTCACCTTTCAAATGAAAATTATGGCTTCAAACAGGAGTAAAGCGAAATATCATGCTCTAGGGATGAACATATATTTGTTAAATCAGCTTTTGACCAATATTGCAGTTGAAAAAGCTGCATTGAAAATAATGAATGTAAAAAATAATTATTTCCTGAATGTTTCTTTAAGGATGCTGGAAAAATAGCATGTGTGCATAGCTCTCCCACGAAATTGATGATATCGTATCAGTGAGTCCTTTTCTCATTTGTAATTAACTCTTAGTTCTTAAGTAAACGACTTCCGAGTGTTTACAGTACTGCTAATAGGAAGCGGATGATTAATATGAAAAAGGTATCATATCTACCAGCCAAAATATTTTTTGACAATTATTCCCGAATCCTTAATGGTTTTTGTGTCCACGGAGAGTCTGTTTTTTTTTTTTTTTTTTTTTTTTTAAGGGGTAGAAATGCTTTCGTTGCGGATTAATCAAATTTCAGATTTCAGTCGGCGCATGGTTCGTAGAGATGGCTAAAACAGATAAAAAAAGCATTAACATGTATGGCTATCAACATAGGTTTCCATTTTGCAACGGCTTAAGTCAACTGGTGGTGATAGAAAACAGTAGAAATGGCAATTTTGTCGTTTCCTTGGTTAATAATTCAAATTTTGCATCTGAAAATGTTGACGATGAACAGTTGTCACCTTCTTGTTCATAAACAGACTCAAGGAGTGATATTGGATTTGTCAACTTCGCAGCTGCACTTAGCATTACTAAGAGAAACTATTGAGAACAGCAAAACAATTGTGTTATCTATATTATTGAAATTTATCGTTTGCGTTTTGTTTAATATCATTTCAGAATGTACCATTTGACCCTCTTTAGAAAGTATTTAAGGTGGGTTTGCACTCATCGTTCGAAATCGACCATTTCCTCTTCTCATCGTCCTAAAATTACCAAGTCAAAGAACTCCGTAGAGTCATACAATCACAACAGGCCACAAGTGTTAATGACATAGAAGCAAGCCATTTTCGAATTTCGCGTACAATTTTTGCTCGACAAATCTAAAAAAAACCATTTCCAATCTTACTCAGGTTTGGGTGATTACCGATATCCTTAATTCTTTAAACTTAAAGATATTATTCGCTTTAGATTTCATTTCAAAATGTCCCTTTTTAAGCACGAAAAAGATTCCCGCAAATGCTAATCAAGGCAAGCCTCACAGATTAGCCAGCAGCTCAGAGAGAAACACATCTTGATTGTATTTAAATATTTACGTTTTGATGGATTGACGATCAGCTGCTGTAAACTTAAAAGAACGACTTAAACCTTGCGCCATCACACAGCAAATGAATTACTGAAAAACACTGTTCATTCGCAAACAAAAGCGGCATTTGGCTTCCGAGTCAAAGGTAAGAGAGCGGAAAAGCAAATTTTGCCTACTTAATGAGCCAAATACTAATTATCTGCTTTGAAGGCTAAGAACAAAACAAAGAAAAACATTCTCCCAAAGGTGTCATTAGCACCTTTCCACCCAAGAAGGCTCGTTTGTTTTTCGACCCAAGCCATTCTTTTCATACTTTGACCAGGTTTGTAAAGTTGAGTTTAATAGAAAACTACTCTTCATGATGACAAACTTTAAATTGGAAAATGTCTGGCTTGGCTATTGCGTGGATAACAACACTTTTGCGAGTCTCACGAAAGCAAGATTTTATGATCGATATTCGTTCGCATTTCGTGGAGTATAACATCCTTCAGTGTACGAGTTCGATTGTTTCTTCCACTTTAAATTTCGGCCAATTGTGTTAGGCATATAACAACTTGTATCTGAAAATTGTACAGCTAATTTTCATTTCTTTTAAAGATGATTTAATGCACTCACTAAGGTATCTTTTAAGTTGTTAAGTGACCGGCAGAAGTTGACATTTGTTCAGTACGGTACCATTTTTTTAGCAGAGTACACAAAAACGTCGTTGCCACTACGATTCATCTTAACTAGTTTTATTTTTCTTTCATCACAGATATCTTTTGACATCATTGAATAACATGAAAAATCAGCCCACACCTGCAGGTAAATTTATAAAAATTCCGGTCAGTTTTAACACGTTTGGAATAATATTGCATTGAGTGCACAAGCCACATTTTTTAAGCAATTCGCACGTATTGGTATAGGAGTTTTGAACTTTATAGTGGATAAAATTTAGACTTTGTAAGACAGAGTTTGTTGATAACGAGCAATTAAAAAACCATTAAGATAAAGGAAACACTTAAAGGATTACCGCAATTTTGCGGGCAGTTGTCTGTGGCTGTAAAAGCTCGTTCGTCGCTCCTCAAAGGAGCTACCGTACCGAGAAGAAAGACAAAACCTCTTCCTGAAAATCAATCATTTGATAAAATCTTTCACGGGAGAGACTTCAAATAGAAGCGACACTGATTAAAAAATTACATCTACAAAAATCCTAACACAAGAGAAGAACAGAAATCCCATTAATAGTATCCTACAGATCCCACCAGAATAAATCACGAAAATTTCCTGAACCACTAAAGGTGGTAGCAACTAAGATACACAGTGTCTTCTTGTTTCTAATATTGAAGTCAGTTTGGTTAGTCTCACAATTCGGAAAAAAGTAATTTTGTTTGTTTATTTTTCCTCACCTCTGTGGAGTAACAATTTTGAAACTGACACAGATAATGACATGTTCTCTCTTAAGTTTGAGGAAAAACAGAAAAAAGAGCCAAAGGAAAAACGAGGAGGATTGATGGTGGCGTAAGATGAATTGCGGGCGAACTCAAACTTAAGCAAGAGACCAGAACACATATTAGAGAAACCAAAATCTCTGGATACAAAATATTCTCCTTCATGTATTTGCCAGGAATCTGGTGAAAACATAATACTCATTAATATGAATTATTTCACTTGTTGTATATCTTTGGCAAACAACTCTTATTATCGCTGCAATGTTCAAAGTTAGGCCTGATCAGCCCAAGTTAGACCTGATCAGTAAATTCGAAATGGTAAAGAAATAGGACTTAAGACAGCTAAGGTAACTCGGTAAGAAGTTATGGTGATCAGAGTGCTTCTATGCATGTGTACTTCTCTATTTTGATTGATGAATGAACTGGGCCTCTATTCCTCAACTTCACCAAAAAAAAGGTCATAAAATGTTTCTGAGAAGCTTATCAAATAAATCTCAGTTTCCGTAGAATGAACAGAATAGTCCATGGCAAGTTATCCCACAACATTTCCTCAGGTTTCCCTCAGAGATCGCCGGGACCAACTTACAGTCTTGGGTGGAGAAAGGCACTAACCGACAGGCTATCGAGTCACTGACAAAGAGATCCAGATTTCTAGCTTAGTCCCCTTGGGTTTTCAAGGAAACAAGTTACTTTTTGGTGAACTGCTGAACACTTACATCTCCTTTGTTTTTTTTTTCCTTTTAAAAGGACTTTCAAGAAATTCGACAGACGATGCCACTTCTGAAGGGTATTACAAATCAGTCACCGTTGGACCATTGGTTGTTTGGAGTCTCCTCCTAAGCTTTATCGCTCTCACTATTATTTTGTCAAACACACTTGTTATTTTTTCATTCATCAAGTATGCCAAATTGCGCACGCGCACCAACTGCCTAATAATTAGCCTCGCTGTGGCGGACTTACTGGTCGGTCTCGTTTCCGTACCTGGTTGGCTAATCCTTATTCACAAAGAGGAAAATCAAAGGTCTACTTGGTATAGCGTTCTCATGGAAATATGGTATGTCTTTGAGATCCTTAGCGGAGTGGGGTCCATATTTCATCTAATGGCTCTAAGCTGGGATCGACTGTGTGCCATTGTATGGCCGCTGAAGCATCGTTCATACACTAAAACGAAATATCTGGTTATAATCTTCGTAGCTTGGTCAGTGGCAACGCTAGTGTCAGGGCTCTCTGTAACTGGAAATAGGAATTCGCCACAAGCGTACAACATGACAGTTATTTGCCTGTGTTTCTTCCTGCCTCTTGTTCTGATCTTTTTAGCCCAAGGAATAACTTTGGTCACTATCAAACGCAACATTGCTAAATTTCACCATAGCTCCAGCCTGAAGCGGGATGTCAGAGCGACTAAAACAATTCTTATCATGATAGGCTTGTTTTTGATTGCCTGGCTGCCATTCTTTTCTTTGGGTTTGGTTCGTTTCATACAAGACGACCACTCTGTATTACCCGCAAACGCAATCTTTGCAGTCAAAATGTTGCAATACAGTAATTCACTTTTTAATCCCATTCTTTACGGGCAAAAGTTTCCAGAATTCAGAAAAGCATACATAATGATTTTATGTTCTGCCAAAAGTGATGGTGACAGCGCACGGTTTGCAATTTCTTCATCAGTAAACACAAATAACTTTGGAACTTCTTCGTCCACTATTCGTGGGTTATGTCCTCCTCCACAAAATCTCTCACAGATTATTACGTGCCTTGATAAGGCAGCATGACGAGAAGATAGACATACCACAGGAAGAGGAGGAGCTGACGTTCATGGACAGTGGTCTTTGACACTTTTTAAAAGGATTTATTGCATAGTGTACGCCTTCAGTGGAAGCTAGACGGCGAGTATGTCTTCTTAAATGATATTCATTTAAAATGGTACATTTACAAAAAAAACCTGTGTTCTCAATTTTGTTTGGGCTGGATCGTAAGAAAGAGAAAAAGTAGTTTTACTAGAGTAAATAGTGTGCTTTGGCCATTCTTAATTTACTGCTACCCATAAAGCTTTGCTGTGGAAATAAAAATTATGAAAGAATTTCTGAGGAAGCTATGCCTCTTCACCATCGACGTTTTTTTTTGAGCCATGCCAGATGGCGCCTACGACAAATTTCATAGAGAGCTTTGTTGTGACACAGTCAGTTATTAAAAACGGATCACGTTCCAACTAGGGTTTAAGCAAACCAAACCCCACGGCAGCTCTAATGAGGACATCAATAGCCGTACATATCCATCTTAAAGTTTGTACATTTCATTATCCTCCAATGCAAAACGACAACGTGAAATGACCTAAATTTTGCGTCGTCCGAACTCAATCCTTCCCATCAGTATCACGATTCAAATGAGATATGACGGTTGAAAGGTTCTGACTGCTTCAAGTCCCTCGTATTTTCACTTTTTCTTATGCCTACGTGTACCCGTACCTCCCCCCCGCCCTTTGCTACCTCACGATGAAAACACCATTTATGATGAAGAATTCACTTTTCTTTACGATTGTTTTCTGTCGAAAAATCCAGATTTTTGAGTCTTACGATCAATTCGACTCAGATGATACGTCCTCAGCTGATTGCAAAGCGGAATTCCGAATCGAAAGGGCTGTTCTTTGCCGACTTGCCGATGTTTTACAAATTCCTCCGATGACTAAATGCAGACAGAGGAGACTTTGTGATGGTCTCGAGGGGCTGTGTGTGCTTCTGAGGCGAACGAGCTACCCTTGTCGATGCAGTGACATGATTACACGATTTCCAAGACCAGTGTCTGTTTTGAGTTTGATTACCAATGAAGTCTTAAATTTTATTTTTGAAAACCCATGGTCACAGATTGGAACGGAAATGTTCCAAACCCTCTGGCTCTTCAGATATATGCAGAAGCAATATCGAGAAAAGGGTCACCACTACAAAATTGCTTGGGCTTTACAAATGGATCTGTTCGGCCAACTCAAGACCTGACACTGGGCAAAGAGTCGTTTACAATGGACACACGAGAGTGCATGGGCTAAAATCTCAGTCCGTTACCCAGCGATTAATTGGAAATATCTTTGGATCAGTAGCTGAGCACTTTATTTACATTGTTCTATCCAATACATAGACACACGTAATGTAAAGATTTTCCCTAACTTGGCTGGTTAAAATATGCCAAAAGATAAACAGTTTTGAGCTTGGTTTTAGTTTATCTACACCTGAGTATTTGGTGTTATATCCAAATAATATCCTCAAGTTGATAATTTTTTTTTTACTTTTCGACATCTGTCTGCTCTAAACGGTCTATTAAAGTTGTTAGGCGTAGTTTTGTCAAAATATGGCAAGAGTAAGGGGTGCCTAAGAGACAATAAATTCTCTTTATTGAATATTATTTGCTCTAGAATAAACCTCTTGTGATACTTTTCGGAGGGATGTAAGCACGATGCTGCAATGCTGGCTGATTTTGGGCTCCAAAATGACTTAGGACGATTTGCCTTCTCCCCTACAAGAGCACCTATGCGTGTTTACGGGGATCCCGCATATCCCCTCCGGACTCTTCTACAGGGCCAATTTCGTCGGGCACATCTCACACTACTAATGAAAGCATATAATACAGCAACGAGCACAGTTCGCACTTCCAGTACTAGTCCTAGTCTTAGTCAGAATGAACATAACAGTGGCACTGGGGATTATGTATTTTTCCAGGTGATAACCACCTTAAGTTGCACAATGATATTATAGAAGTTATAGCTTCAATTGAACATATGTTACTTAAATCAAAAAAGAAAATATCATGCTCAATGAAAACAACTTTACTTATCACCTTCTGTAAAACCGAAAGAAACATGGTGTTCATTTGCTGTTGCTTTCGCAGGAGTGTTTGCATAACCTGCTCCTGACTTCCCTGCTCTTTCTTTTTTTATGTCAAACGCCGCGAGCGGTTGTGCGTATATCTGGCCTGACTTGCAGCATTTGGAGATCCATCCTTTTCTGATCTCCGTTTCTTCGTCTCCTTAAGTTTTCCATTACTTTTTTTTCCTATACCGTCAGCCGTTTCTTTATACTCTTGTTAAGAGGAAGAATCCGCGTCCGCAAATCATCCGGAGAGATTCCACTTCCCTTTTCTTCCTCGCTCATTTTCTTAGTAAATTTCTTCCTCAGAAGCATCCATCTCTCTCTCACTGCTCTCTTTTGTCTCTGAGTTGAAACTTTGGAGAGTCAATTTCATTCAATGTCTCTACTATGGCCTCCTATACCAGACCACGCTCTAGGCTTCCCTTTTTTCACAACAAACACATTTCCGGCTGACATTCTCGTAATAGCAACACATCATACTCCTTCGTCCACTCCATTTGCCAGAGAGAAAAGTCGAAGTGGAAAAAATCAAAGAAAGATTGTTAAAAAAAAAAAATCCAAAATTGTTAGATGTAATAGACTCTTTTTTTTTTCTTGCACATTTAATTTTGGTTTCTTACTTCAATTTTCGATCGTCCGTTGCCGCCGTTTTACGCACAACACAAAGGTACGTATGTCACGAAGCCAGGAGACGATCCTTATTTTCTTTTTTAAACACTATATTATTTATCTTAAACTTCTGGAAACCTTACGACCCCGAACCTTATCTATAGTAGCCGATTACTTATTTATAGTAGCCGATCTGAAACATTGTTTTTAGCAGCAAGAACATTCTAGACGCTAATGATGACATATCCTTAAAATAACTCAATAGAATGTTCCGGAATATGGAGAAGTTTTTAGCTCAGCTTATGCAATAGCGTTGTGGTAAATCAACGTTCTATTAATTTCTGGAGACTTCGTTACAACGTATAAGAGGGCTTCTCTTATGGGCCTTGTGAGTAGTAAACCTAGAAATAGACAACTCGCTAAAATACATATATGTTATTTGCCGGCTGGGAGGTCCGTATGGTGAAAAATCAGACCGAGGTCTTGAAAATACTGCTCGAGGCCGTAGGCCGAGGGCAGCATTTTCAAGACCGAGGTCACAGTTTTTCACCATACGGACCGACCCTTAGCCGGTAAATAACATATTTATTGTTTTAAACTTGACGAAATTCTTTCCGAAAGAACCCGAATGATTTAGGGCTGTAAATACGGCGAGATCTTCCATAAACTGAACAATTTTTGAGTGAGTAAATGGAAGTTAAAATAGAGGTGATGCAAATTAAAGAGAGATGCCTCAGCGAAACATTTACATTTCCGTAACGATAAAGGTGATTTAAAAGGCTTCCAAACAAACTTTGAAACATTATTTTTACAAGTATCTGTCACAATCTGACACCTGTCAATTAGAGAGCGCGCAAGAAAAAAAAAGCGAAGGAACATTTGAAAAACATCAGAACTAGTTTGGCAAGGACTGTCACGACAATGTTTTCTTCAAAATCAGTCAATGATCTAACGGAAAGTATTATTCACTCTCATCGACCATTCATTCATGTACGAATATCTAACTCTGTTCATTAAGTAAACGGCGAGGAAAGTAATTGTGAGTAAATTCAATTTTTTTACTTTGAAGTTGTGAGAGTTTACTCGTTTGTTTGCTGCAATGGCGTGTGTGACTCTGGTCTTTCCTTCACAAAAACTAAATTCAAACGGCACACTCCAGCGAGACACAAGGGAATTTAATGCGGCCTTTTCTCAAAAAATTCCTTCAATTTCTGTTGTGCAATTTACGGTACAAATGTCTAAATTGAACGGAATTGGAAAGACTCACCGGGAGCGTATATTTGTTGTAGAACTTAAATTAAAACTTTGCTCGCTCTTTCACTACGAACAAATTGCTTGAGAAAATTCAGATATTAAATGAATGAAAGTTCCATCGTTCAGTTTAACTGTGGCCAAATACTTCACGTTTCAACTTTCTGGGTACTTTTTGTGAACGATTAAAATTAATTGCAGACGGTTTTTAGGCCGCTTGTCAGCCAACGTAATGACACTTTTGTTTATTCAAATTCATTCTGAAACCAATATTTTCCTGTTAACCAAAGTGATTTGATAGAGAGAAAAGAGAGGATTCATAAGTTATTTATCGGCTTGAGGTAGTGACCGACTTGTTTGCTTAAAAATACTGCCCAGCCAGCAAAACGAGGTATATTTATGAAAAAATGACAACGAAAGTTGGGATGTACTCGGCGATTCACGAAAGCGTTACCGTGGCCCGTGGGCAGAGATAGGAAAATACTGACCGGGTAAAGAACCAATCAGATTGCAGGATTCGTTACCGTGCCCTCTAAAAAAACAATAAAATGGGTTCTTTTCGATATAGTAAGCGGTCAGATAACAAGCAATGTACTGCCAATAAATGATGAGGTATTTTTATTGAGAATTTGACTTTTATTCATAAGATCGGTCGTAAATATTCCCCAACAAACTATTGTAATTTCGCCGTGACTCTTATTTCGCAAGATGATCATCTCACGGCTGGAGCTTAGGTCGCCTGTGGGTCAGTAAATAAACCAAGCACGTCCACTTGAGGAAGTTTCAAAATGCTGTCACAATTCGGAAACTCATCACGACAGCTAAAACCTAAATAACTTTGGAATACATTACATTAAATACTTTCTAAATATTAACGAAAATTCAATTGTACAAAACTGACTAACTTACTGATTATATACTAACTAACTGCTTTATAACACTAGATCGAATTACGGAAAAAGATTATTTTTACTTTTAACATTATACTTCGTAAGTTAATTTTTCACCCTAAGGTGCTTCGCGTGTTTTTCCATGGTCGATTTTATCATGGCTTAATTTCATGTTCTCTCGATCGTCATGAATGGAAGGGAAGCGTCGGTGCACCCATCAAATGGAAAATTGCTGTCACCGTTCTAGTCTTATTGTGTGTCGGTTTGCTGATAGCTCTCATCGTGGTTGCGGTAGATTTCACCCAGTACAAAAAGAGATATCCAAACAAACTGAAAACAAATTCGTGCGCCGAAAAAACCCTCGAATTTGGTGAAGTACCGAAGACTCAAAACATCTTTAACGAACTTTCCCGCGAAGAATTAATCGCTGCGAGGAATTTCATGTTAAAACAATCCTCATTGAAACTAAAGAAGATTGAAAACGCATCCGTGAAGGAAAATTATATTTTCATGATCCAGATGTACCCGCCTGCCAAACAAGCAGTCCTGGATTATTTAGAGAAAGGCAGACCGCAGCCTGCCAGAAGAGCGCTTGTTGTTGTTTTCGAAGGTGATTCCAACCCACCAGTGGTCCGAGAGTACATTGTAACATGGCCGAACAGCACCGTCAAGGAAATGACGTACGAAGAACGCGGCAATCCTCTTGAGTTCAACGTTCGCCCTTATGATCAAGTACAACACAAGGCCTTAGAGAAGATTGTTATAGAAGCCACAACCAAGCTTTTTAAGATTTTAAATGACAGTTATGATGGATACTGCTATAACAACTGTACAAACAGGCTGTTAAAATTTCATCCACAGGGACCCTTTTGGTAAAAATAGGAACGAACGAACAACGTGGCTGCAATTCACTCGCGATCTAGAAGGGGAATCGCTGAACCCAGTTGATTTTCAACTCTACATAAATTTTGCTGGCGCGGACGTGTCGAAATGGAAAGTGGACAGAGTGTATTACAATGGATTCGCATTCAACACCGTCGACGACCTTTTATTTCATTATAATAAACCGTCAGGTATTCAAAAATCGTTCATCCCCGCGCCAAAACCACCTCTATTTTCATCATACGAAAATCGTGGAAGCCCCAGTCCCAGAGTTCCAGGCGAGCCCCGAGGATGTTTGAGCCTGATGGGAAAAGATTCCTTGTCAGCGGTCACCATGTTAAGTACATGAGTTGGACCTTCGACTTTCGAATGGATTCAGTTTCAGGCCCTCAACTCTACGACATTCGATTTAAAGACAAAAGAATAATCTACGAACTCAGCTTACAGGAGGCCATTTCATTTTACACTGGCTACTCCCCATACTTCAGGGTCACCAATTTTGTGTATGGTGGATGGACAATGGGTAGGAGATCTTTAGAACTAGTGGCCGGCGTCGACTGTCCAGAGACATCCAAGTTTTTCGACACGCTGCATTTCGTGGACATCAATGAACCGGAAGTAATCAGGAATGCGGTATGCGTTTTTGAAATGGACAGCGGTATTCCACTGAGGCGCCACTTTGAAGCAATTGGAAAAAGGTTCCGCTTTTTTGAAGGAATGACCAGTCATGTGTTAGTAATTCGCACCATTGCCACTTTGCGCGGTCATGACAACGTCTTCGATTTTATGTTCTATCAGAATGGCGTTGTGGAGGTAAAATCGACACCCACCGGCTACATACAAACAGAGAACGGCCAAACAAGCCTCGATGATCCATATGGGCAAGATATTGAGAATAAACTGCTAGGAAACCTACACGATTACACATTCCATTACAAAATAGATCTTGATGTCTATGGTACCTCCAATTATTTTGAAAAAATCTCAATCAGTAAAGACGACGAACCAAATAAATGGCTTCCACCGCAAAGAGAAAATGTAATAGTATTCCGCCGAGAACAGCTAAAACTGGAGCTTGAAGCAGCGATTGAGAACATCGACTTCGGAAAGCCAACTTTTTATAATGTGTACAGTAATGAAAAAAACAAGTTTGGCGTAAGTAGATGATATCTTGTCATACCGATATCAGCCGTGAAACAAATTCTTCCGAAAGAAGATCGTTACACCAAGATGGCACCGTGGTCGAATTATCCAATTGCTGTTACCCTCTATAAAGATACCGAGCTAAAGAGTAGCTCTGTGTACAATCAGAACAGCCCCACCCTGCCCATTGTCAACTTCGAAGAATTCCTAGGCGACAACAATGACATTACTGATCAAGATCTCGTCGCTTGGGTTTCTATCGGATGTATCCAATTTCCGAGCTCCGAAGATATCCCGAACACTGCGACGTCTACGAACACGGCCAGGTTCTTTCTTCGGCCGTTCAATTACTTCGACGCCGATCCTTCAATAAATTCTACCGGTGCAGTGTTTATCAAACCTTCGACAGACAAAAGTGGTTCAAGTCCTCCTGTGGTTGTGAGCCGTGTGAATCGTAGTAAAGATGTATGCGTGCCAAGAAAATATGACATTAACTTAACAGGAACTTACGAATGAAGAACGCGTTCAACTCACGTTATTAGTTCACAGGAGACATTTGACGCACTATTCCAGTCAATAGGGCAAAAAAGAAGAGATGTTGAAGCTGCTATTCTCCCTCCACCCAGCTGTATTCAGGACTAAATGATAGAAACAGAAAATTCAATATTTTATCAGTATTCAGGCATTATGAAGGTTATCAAATCGCGAAATATATGAGATGTAAAGAAGAGTAAGAAGGTAAAGCTCGTTAGAAAAGTCAAGGATTGCGATAAATAGATGTAGCCATTTAGAGCGACGGAAAATATCACATATAGCCAATAAGAACTCAAGGTTGAACACGAAGTCTGTCTGAAGCGCGGGAAAACGCGGGTGGCTACTTCACTGTGGGTTTAAGTGTTGTTAAATAACTATATTGACATTAACTTGGAAATTTATCTTACCTTCATTTTTTAAAATTTTTTTAAACTCTTGGTTCTGCAGATTTGTCCGCAAAAATAAGTTTCGCTGTTTGTATTAGATAGCTACCCTTCTGAAATAGAAATTCAATGCTTTACTTCATGAAGGCGAAGCTTTCTTCCGCAAGCTAAGTTTTTTTCCCCAAAAATAACGTTGCATAATGACTGTAAATATTTAGAAATCATTTATGTACATAACTTTGTATTTTCTCTTACTGCATGTAAGCAACATCGTATATGGCCAGGTTCTTTAAATAACATGGTTACAAAAAGAGGAAAAAAAAGTTTAGAATTTTGTAGAGCGAAAGTTTCGTTTTTATAACCAATAGGAAGCGAGAATCTCGTCTGACCAATCAGTGCCAAGGTTAACTTTTCTACAGCCAATAGAAAGCGAGAATCTCGTCTAACCAATCAGTGCCAAGGTTAAGTTTTCGTCAACTAATAAGAAGCGAGATCAGATCAACAAAAACTTAATTTTACCACGATACCAACCAAGCATGTATTACTCGGTTTACCAGTATATCCTACATTGCAATAGTTACTAAATTTTAAATCATCTTTCAAATAGGGTGCAAAATACAACACGTTTTTGACAAATAAAAGTTAAAAATAAAAAACTAAAGATTGTACAAGTTTAACGATTAAGAATAAAATGAAAGATAAACATTTCATAGTGTCAACATATTGAGTCTGTAATGGAGTATGGAGAATCACTCATTTGGTCTGATCTTTAAAAGTCAGATTCACAAAACCTCGAACTAAATTATCCAAAATCCTCACCCTCCCCTCCCACAACATTATGAGCAGGTTATTTCCAGTTACCTCACGGTTCGGTGACCATTATTACACCAATTTGGGTTTTACCAAGGAAAAGCCTCTCTGCAGTGTTCCGTACGCTGGCGACTATGAATAAACGGTTGCATAATGAATTGTGCAATAGAATGATCAGTCCTGGACAGAGGGTCTTTAAAATGCACAGCTCACACATTTCGGACCTGACCCGCCTTTTTCTCTGAAGCAAGTTACTTACAAAGAATACCAACTTTAAAGAATGGGAATTCTCTGCAGACGTAAGGGAACTTTTCTCAAGATTATATATGGTAAGTAATATAAGAGAAGTAAAAAGTAACTTCAATCCACTCTTTACTCCTTGGTGTCCCGTCTGGGTCGTGTTTCGCGTCTCCCCCACTCCTCCCTTCCTGTTTATGTCTGTTATGCCTGATTAACCCCCTTCTTAGATTACACTCAATTCCCCTTCCCCCCCCGCCCAAAACACAACCATTAAAAAAAAAAAACAATAAACTAAAACTACGTAAAACACAAATTTTTATTTATTTTTTCTCCTTTGTTTACTTTTCACTTATCTTTTCATTCGATTCTTTTTTTTTAACCCACGTCTTGCACCATAAAGCCAAACAACTTCAACCAATTTGGCCAACACAAGTGCTCAAATTAATTCCTTTTGATAAAACCTTTAACTACCATTTTGTATTTAAATATTTAAAATGCTATTCAAATAAACTATATATCTTGCCCCACAAGCACATCCCTAAAACTCACTAAATATAGACGGTCCTCGATTCCTCTCTAATAGTGCTGAGATGGCAATTCAAAACTATTATCATTTAGCATTTCACTCTGTTGACAGATGCACCATTACTTAAAACATCTGCGAACGATTTAAAGAAAACGAGCATGATCCGATTTCTCCAACTATAATGCATGTATAGTCATGTGAAACAGAAAGAGAGAAAAACAAAACATTCAAAGCCCCCTTCGTATAAAACTGCAGTTTTGCCAAAAAGCACGTATGTACAGTGTTTGGTTAACCAGCGTAAGTTCCTACGCTGAAATGGAAAATCTCCTCACTCTTTCTCAAACATTTTACATTACTCAGGTTGTGAGGATTTAGCTCTACATGAAAAAAATAAAATAAAAAATACTTCAAACTTCACTCGAGTTAAAAAACACTTTCCAATTTAAATCACTACTGTTCCAAACTAAATCAAAGTGCTCTGTGAGCAAACTCGTGAATTGACACATGATTTTGACACATGATGTTTAATGTTATCTGGTTTAGGAAATTTGGTGGTTGATTGTCATATCTAGAGTACGAGCAGTAGTTCAGTATTCGCTGATGTAGCAAAGAAACAAGGTAACGTTGGGATAAGAAGGCATTACAATTGAAATGATAATGCTATTACATTTGACAAGGTGGATGATGTCATGTGTTTTAAACGTCTATCATTTTTTTTTCTGGTTCAAAAGAAAAGGTTGGAAGTAAATGTAGATGAAAAGTGAAATTTACTGTCTTTCATTGTAAATATTAGAAAATCAAGGCAATACTGTCTTAATGAAAACATTAACGATTCCCTCTTTATCAAATCAGACAAACTGGAACGAGTTTTGAGTGATATAACTAAGCCAAGCCTGCCACCGTCATTTTGGATCTCCGCCTGGGTAGATTTAAGTCACGTGCTAGGCAACGTATAATCAATAACAAGATAGAATTTCATTTCAGGCCTATTTATCAATTTTGTGGTGTGTAACTTTCGCATTTTAGTACGTTGTATGTATGTTGAATCTTCAAATTGTCTTGAAACTTAAAAGAAAATTGTTCTTTAAAAATTCACTGAAAATCGGTAGCTAAAATTGTTTGTTTAGGTGTTATCTGATTTTCGTGTTAACTTGTAATTTCGTCAGTCGCCGGCATCTTTTGTTGCTTCACACAGGAAAAAACACACGCGACGAAACGTAATGATCAATTTTGTCCTCAATATCACGCCATAACAGAAAAAGCTTTTGAACATCTGTAAACTCCTGAGCGCTTCGCAGTAAGTAATATTTTCAATGAATCTTCGGATTGTTTTCGAGTTCAAGGATTGTAAATTACAATTTTATGAAAAACGAAGGTTGTTCTGTTATTTCAGTGTGAATCCTTGCATGCCTGCCAGTCTCTGGCGCCGCTTGTTGAAACTAAAACGAAAAAAAAAACTCTTTTAAGATCATCATTGGCTTCTTTTTCACCCCACCACTATTCTTAGCAACAAAGGTCGCCATTTCTTCTGTTTACTGTTCGCTAAAAACTATCAAATGCACTCAAAAGCCTAAAATCTAAAAAAAGTTTACAGGAATCGACCAATCGAGCGAGCGAGCGAGCGAGCGAGCGAGCGAATGCCATTCCCCACATGGTATCTATAACTCGCTCTTGCGCATGCGCGCAATTCACGAGTTAAAAATGGGTAGAAAACACTCATGCCCCTAAAGAAGTTCCTGTTTTAATGCTTCAAAGCAAAAATGAGAACTGGATTGACCAAATAGTGTTCTGAGCCCATACAGAACATGTCTGATTTAAACCAAAGAATCTTTCAGTCAATCTCGAAAACCACCTGATTTTAATTGGTCATCATTCAAGGAATTATCTACAAAAATGTTGTGAGAATTCAAAGGAGGAATTTGTTCACTGCAACCGGAACTTCTGGGTCAACAATCTAAAGCTTTGAAAAACTAGTTCCTTGTTCTAAATATGTAAATAAACAAAAATGTGAAACTCTGACAACTGCTTCACAGTAATACTACCTTTTTTTCTTTCATATAATTTTGTTACGGATGCATGTTGGAGAATTTTAAGTTTGATCATTACTGAACACAGAAACACACATAAGAGCCCTGCCTTGTGGCGGTGCAGGTAACTAGTAAGTAACTTAATGAACTGATGTCAATTATTTCTAACATAAATCTGAAAAATTTTTGGGGAAATTTTGATGGTACAATTTAGTTGCAGGTGGCTAACATATATGGCAAAAATTGTTGCCTGAATATCAGACCAAAAATACAAGTCTGGCAATACTGTCCTGTTTTAAAACATTTTCAAAAGTCTGCTACCTTTTGTTTCCAGTACACAGAAAATGAAAAGAATAAGCAACTTAATCACCTCCACACAAGTTGCAAGTAACAACGTTTTACCATCAAAATTAACCCCAAGAGTTTTACATGTTACAGATGGCCCATCGACTCGGATACGCAAACTAAGCAAGCTACTCCAAGGGTTTCGACTGTGATAACTTTAGTTACTTCCGACGCTCTGAAGATGTTTGACCAAAAATGTCGTATTGTCATTTAGGGTTACTTAGTCTATCGGACGTGGGTTGTAATTTAAAACTGGAAATTATTGTTCTCAACGACAATGAAGACCTTAGAAGACCTCCTTGCTAGACCTTATCGCTTCCAAGATCCCGCTAAGAACAGATATCTTACAGCTATTCCTCGAGAGCCTACTAAATCATCTACCGATTGCTCGGAGTTTGCCGTTCCCAAGTGTATGTTCATCAATATTTGCAGTCTCGCAAAAACTAAGAACAAAGTGCGTGCGGCGGTTGGACTTGAGGCTGACTTGCGATCTAAAGATATTGATGTTTGTGTCGTATCGGAAGCACACCTCAAACCGGCACAACCGGATGCGATTGTAAATATTGAGAACTATTCCATCTTTCGTAGAGACAGAAATTGGAATGGCAGAGATATGCGCAATAAGGGTGGGATTGCTATATACATCAGGAA